AGAGAGAGAGAGAGAGAGAGAGAGAGAGAGAGAGAGAGAGAGAAACAAACATAGAGAAAATTTAATTGAAAAAAAACACTGAAAAACAAACACACAGAGATAGATACTCTCATCCTTTATCCATTTTGTTGTTGTTGTTGTCGTCGCTTGTTGTCGTCGCTTGTTGTTGTTGTTGTCACTTGTCGCTTGTTGTTGTTGAAAGAAATTCAATGAACCGATATCCGATTTCAAAATGATTAAAAATGACAACGACAACAACAACAACAACAGCGAAGACAAGAATCTTAAACTTTTTTTTTTAAAAAAAAAGAAAATTTTTTTGTCATTCTCATCATTCAAATTCAAATTCATTGATCGAAATCAATGAATTTTGGTTTTGAATTTCAATTTTCTTTTGGCTATAGCAGAATTAGTTTTCCCAATCAACCAATCAAAAAAAATCAATTAGTTTTTTTTTTGATGGATTGATTGATGAAAAGTTTACTTGTGATTATATAATAATTATTCAAAAGGGGAGAAAAAAAATTCCCGGAAACAAATTTTTTTTCCCACCAAATTGATTTTTCGAAAACTTTTCCATAAGTTTCTTTTAAATTTTCGAATTTTTTTTTTTTGGATGATGATCAGTTGATGTTTGATTTTTTTTCGGGCTTCTTTTGATCCGATAAAGTTTGTTTTTTTTGTTGTTGTTGAAAATCTAATTTGATATATGAAAAACAGCAAAGAAAACTTTCGGTAATTTTTAAATGAATTCGTGCGTAAATAATAATAATGATATCATCATCATCATCATCGAAAAGTAAAAAAGATGGAAAAAAATACTGAAGCTTTTCATCATCATCATCATCATCAATATTGACATTGAAAATGTTGATAAGGATAAACAACGAAACGAAAAAAAATCAAAAATCAATGAATATCTCAACAAAAAAAAAATAATAATAATAATATGGTCAACTTGATAATAACAATCAAAGAATGGATAAAATATATGATGTGATTGTAACTAATGTG